GTTGTAAAGTACTTAAACAGTATATTAGTGGGTTAATGAAGATAGCTAGCTAGCCACTGTATATATATATATATATATATACACACTTTTTATTGCATAACAAAAAAAAAAACTGAGCTACTCCAAATCCACATTATGGCTGTGAATAGGTGGGGTGATGCAGTTGTTGAACTAAAAGAAGTGACGAGAATATGATGGTCACTGGCAAGGTAAGGGAAGACATCTGTGAAGATGAGAGAGAGAGAGAGAGAGAGAGAGAGGAAAGGGGACAAATTGCCAGCACAAGAATTATGAAACAAGATAACCGCCAACTGGATCATTGTGTATTTGTGTGGGAGTCTGGTTTGGGAGGGAAAAAGAGCGGACGGTGGGGGATGGGGGTGGGGGGTGCCCTATGATAGGAGAGAGTGTGGTCCTGACCCTCTGGTCTGTGAGCTCGACCCTATACGCATATAAACTGTAACCCAACAGTTGCAACTCTAAATACAATTTCACCAGACAGTAATAAAGAAATAAATCAGTACTACTACATTAATTTATTACTGTAAATAAAATAGTATTGACAAAAAAAACTATATATAAATGGTGGAGCATGAGGACCTTTCATCTGAATAAATGATGAAAGAGAGAAAGACGAGGGAGAGAGAGAGAGAGAGAGAGAGGTCCCCAATAGGGTTTGGAAGTAGGCTTTAGCTTTAAGTCTTTTTAACTTTAAGGGGCAGGCTTAGCAGTGAGAGCCCATCCTTCTCCTACCCTCTCCTCCCCTTTCCTCTCTGAGCTTTGATGTTAACTCATGAGATTTCCTCGTAAATTCTCGGTAAACGTTACTTACGACCTGTTTGCGTATAACCATAATTACACATCAAAGGGAGGTTGCTGATGAGCCTGTTTCTTCTTAAGGCCGTTCAATGCACTGTACTCTTACACCTGTTTTCAGCTATAGATCACGAAAAAGAAAAGAGAGTAAAGGAACAGTACTTTGCTTTGTTTGCTTTTGCAGTTCCAGCCGGAGATTGCCTGCCTAGGTACACTTCAATTTGAATTAAAAACCAAAAAAAAAACCCCTTGCATCTGTTAAATCATGTGGCTGAATCTTAACCACAGTGCCATTTTGATTTTTGCACTTCTGCATTCTTTGTATTTTTTTGTTTCTTTTTGCCTTCTTTTAGAAAGAGAAAAAGATTTGTACTACCAAAATTATAGAAAAGAATTAGGGCTATACTTAGTGTAAACTTGAGCAAAACATTGATTTCAATATTTTTAAGTCTTGGTTCAGAATTAACTGCTCTAGGTATTACTTCATGTATATTAATTGAAAGCTTAAACAGTTGATGAAAACATTCGCTAAAGAATGACCAACTTATTAACCATTATTTATTGGATTTGCAATATATAATTTTTTTTTTTTGCTAAAACTATTTCAATCACATCTTAATTACCCTTTTGTTATTCCTCAAAATTCATTTCTACCCAATGTTTTATTTTGGGTACTTGCCTACCCCACACCATCAAAACTAGCTAGTTGGTGTTATAAATTTACATAAATTTACTAATAATATAGTATTATACATCTAAACCCTATATCATATATATATATATATTTATACTACCTAGAAATCATTCAATTTTCATTTGTGCAGATATAAATACTGTTACTTCTATTTTAAAAATGATAGTTGTCCAAATGGTCCAGACAAAGTGGGGCTACTGATTTTAGGGGACACTAATTGCAAGAGTGAAAAATTTGGCATGCAAATTCCCCAAGTCAATGACTGGGGCAGGCAGGCAGGCAGCACATTGAACTAACGCAAACAAGGCAAATTAATTCTCAGTGCAAACCCGAACCAAGTTAAAAAAAAATAAAAAAAGTGGGGGACTTCTTCACGCGTCAACCTCATTAGCTGTTTCATACGGCCGTATACTGTCTTATAGTCCATGCATACATTAACAAATATCTATGTTTGCGTATTTAAAATACAATCTTGTACTATCTGGGTTTGTTTTTTTGTTTTTATAGAAATACATAGATTTAGGACAATGTTGTTTGGTCCGACAACCTAATTATCTGATCACTCATAAATGGTATTGACATAATAAATTACAATTGTCAGCTTCAGAGATACTCATTAACCTTAAAACTTCTTGGTGTCGGTGTTGTCGACGATAAGGTTGATGTTGCCGTAGATGACAGACATGGTTAATTACTAGGAGAGGGAGGTAATTAAGCTGTGTTTTATATATCAATAATCCTGGTAATGAACCCGAATTTGATTATTGAAAAATTTTCGTGGAGGTTTTTGTCCAACGCATAAAGTGGAAGATCCAATTGGACCACATGAATCAATAGCCACATCCACCTCTGCTGATGACTAGTTATGTTTGCAGAAAGCAAAATTTCAGTGTACGTACGAGATTAAAGCCTAATTCATTGTAGAACCGTCTAACAAAAATTTGTATAGGAGTTCTCTGGTTCTATGTTTATCCCATATGAAAAATAAGAGTGTCAAGATCGTGTGAGAAAATACATTCGAATTTTTAATTTATTGATTGGTACATTATCTCATTATTTAAAAAATAAAATTCAAATCATCTTTTCTCAATAAAAAAAAATCATGCGAACTGAGGATCCTAAATTACTCTTTCTTTTAGGATTTTATTTTTTTCTTTATTATTGAACGCTTGTGTTGGATTTTTTTAAGGAAATTTTGGGATGACTTTGGATATTCGAGTCTATTAAAATTCAAATATTAGAAGATAAAATTCCTCTTGACTAATAAATTACTATCATGTAAAATTAATTATTTTTTTTCACATAAATACTAAAATGACTAACGATACTGATGAAGTATCGTTTCAATAATAAAAAAAAATTTAAAAATTTCATCATATGTAAATATGATCCAACTTTTGTTTTTTTATATTAAATATAATATTTGATTATAATTATAATTATAATTATTATATGTCACGTCTAACTTCATTGAAACAATAAAAATACTAAGACTCAAAACATAACCTGTTTACCCAAATCCCAATGCACCCTTTACTGGTTGCTAGTTACGAGTTGAGTCAAGTCCAAGTGAAATTTGTCAAATAAATCAAATAAATTTGTCAAGAGTTCCAACTTCTATTTAAATCAAGGAGTCCAAAAACAACAATAAAGAGAAATCGAGAATCAAATTCATGAGAAGGAACCTATATATACCGCTATATATGTCACTTGAATCCTCTAAGATTAATGAAAACATAAGATTCACTACGATTTTGAAGCCTAAATGAATGTTTTTGTTTTTATGTGAAGAATTAGGTTGTTTACCATTTAATGCAGTGTCAAGTGGTAAGCTGAGCTTTATGAGGCAACGACATTTTAAGTAAAAACTCTATAAAAAATATATAGTAACAACAAATTATGAAAAGCATTCTACCAGCTTTGTATCCATGGACTTACCAAAAAGGAGGAAGAAAGTAAGTGAACTGAGTTGGCAATTAAGTGAAGAGTTGAAAAGACTTGGTAGATCCCCCACGTTTCCTTAAATTCCAAAGGTCCTCAATTACCAGACACGGGGAAAGAATATTTTGTCGTATAACTACCTACAATTTTTGACATTGATAAATGAGCCCCATTTATTTCTTCATACTCAAAACCACGACAACGAAAGGAAACAGGGCCTTGATTAGAGAGTAAATTACATCCCTAATTAAGCACCGTGTTTTATTTTTTCTCAAATTAATGCACCTTTCCCTACTCATCAAGCAACAGTACAGTAATTATTTGTTAATTGACTCATAATTTTCATAACTTTTGGTTGTCCTTAATTCTTAAAATTTTTCTTTTTCTGAACCGGAAAGAAATAAAGGAGTTTAAAATGGTGTATATTTATAGCTCAAATCAAATGACGCTTTACCTTTGAGTTTATTTTTATTTATTATCCTTTTAAATATCTCATCTAGTTATCTACGTTCATTTATCCCCTATCTATAATTCAAGCTTTTATATAATTTATATATTAATATTAAACAATTTATTAGCCTTACATGAGTATAGTCATATTAGCAAGTTGCAATATGGTCCAATTTTTTTTTTTTTAAAAAAGGTTCACTTGTCATCATAATTGGAGACAGTTCAAAAAAATAAAGGTTCACTAATGTATGCAAGCGAAGTATGTACATACATGTATATATACTTGTAAAAAAATTTTAAAAATTGATTATTTAATAAAACATTTGTAATTATGAATGAATACAATCTTTCACCATTTGACTTAATGATTAATGTATAATTTTTTATTCATATATATATATATATATAAAAAAAGGTTAAGAAGGAGAGTTAGCTGTATCCCTTATGATTCACTGGGAAAGAAGCAGCAGACATTGGAGAGAGAGATGGCTGGAAGTCGAAAGTTGGAAAGCTTGAAAAAGGGTTGATGAACTTGAGCTGCACTAATGTGGGGGGTGGAGTTTGGTTTGTTGCATGATAATAGAGGAATCTTTCTGTGCTTGCTTGGGTTTTTGCCCTTTTTTTTTGTTTTCCCACTAGTTGGAGGAGGATGAGAGCAGGAAGAGGCAGGTCGGTCTGCTTCAATCTCCTCAACTTTTCTCCTTTCGCAGGACCAGCACACAATCAATGACGCCAAAGTCAAAACTCGAAACCTAACTATAACATGCTCAATCTCTCTCTCTCTTTCACTCAACCGGCCTGGCTGTGGCCTATAACAAAAGCAAGAAAGGAAAAGAGAAGTTATGGTAAGCAAAACAGAAGCAGCAGTAATAATAGTAATAATAATGCAAATGACTTTGTGGGCAAATATTGATCAGTACAAAGCTGATTGAGGAGTTAAAGACCAACTGGCCATTTGGGTCTTAGCGGAGAAGATAATAGAGATAAACCAAAAATAATGAAAAGGACAAGCTCACATGAGTCGAACCAGATCATTCATGGGCCCCTACGTAGGAGTATTTACCTTCCACTCTCTATTCCTCTTTCTCTCACATGGGTCTCTCTTTAAGAACCAAAAAAGAAAAGAAAAAAAAATATTAGCTTAAACTTGGGCACAGAAAGAAGCTTCGAGGGAGGAAAACTGGGTTCCAGCCTAATTCCCTCCTCTACTTCTCCCTCTTCTTTTTCATTTTGCTTTCTCTAAGCCAAATGCCAGGTCAACTACGAGAAATAACCATTTCCTGTTGATTCCTCCATGGCCTGAATTTGTCTTGTTTAGGGTTTTCAGTGTTTTTTCTTTTGGTGAAAGAAGAAGGCACCGACCCGGTCGTTTTTTGTACTGACGCCTGCCTTTTGCTTCCCTCGGCCCTCAAAGATCTAGAAGAAAGAAAATCATACTCCCAAGAAACCAGTATTTGCAGGTCAGGTCTTGTTCTAGTTTTATTTCTCCTTAGAAACTAAAGAGTCTCAGCAGCTATCTAGAGTGTAGACCCACTTTTCTTCTGTCTCTTTGTTACCTTTTCCCCCCATTTTGGCCATCAATCTTATGGTGGATTTTCATCCCAATCATATCATCTAGTGTGGTAAAGAAGGTAAAATTTTTGGAAGTGGGTCATCATAATGAACTTTGTGCTAGAAGAAAAAGGCTATTGTAATAACGAAGAGGAAGATGATGAGGAAGTGATAAGAGAAACGAGCAACTTCCCATTTTCCTCTTCCTCTTCTTCTGCCTCTTCAAAGTACAAAGACACTGCTCCTCAGCAACATCAAAACCTGTGGCTGAGAAACTTGGATTCTCAAGCAGATTATAAATCCCAAGAGTCTGCTATCAATTTTGACAGGAAACTAGAGCTGATGGACTTGTCACTTGGCAACAATAACGAAGAATCAAATATCGGAAGCTGTAGAGGTGGCGATAGTAGTAGGTCTACTGAGAAAGAACACATGTTTGATAAAGTCGTCACACCAAGCGATGTAGGGAAGCTCAACCGCCTCGTTATACCAAAGCAACATGCCGAGAAGTACTTCCCTCTTGACTCCTCATCAAATGAAAAAGGGCTGTTATTGAATTTCGAAGATCGGAACGGCAAGTCGTGGCGGTTCCGGTACTCCTATTGGAATAGTAGCCAGAGTTATGTGATGACCAAAGGGTGGAGCCGTTTTGTCAAGGAAAAAAAGCTTGATGCAGGTGACATCGTGTCATTTCAACGGGGTGTTGGGGACTCCGGAAAAGACCGGTTATTCATTGATTGGAGGCGCAGGCCTACTGCACCTGATCCAACATCGCTTGCGCATATTCAGCTCCAAAATCAGTTTAACTTTCCTCAGTCAGTCCGGTGGGGTAGACTCTACTCGCTGCCTCCTCAACCCATGTGCATGCCACGAAACTATGAACCTTTGCATAGGTTGAATTACAGCATTTATCCTTATAATCATCATTATCATCATCATCAACAGCAACAACTACAATTGCAGCAGCAGCAGCAACAACAGCAACATCATCAGGCAATTACTTATGGCAATGTGGCGCAGTATCACCTAAGGTCATCATCTGGGTCACATCATCATCATCAATATCATCAAATTGGGGCAGTGCAAGAAGGAGGAGGAGAGCCAATGGTGATTGATTCAGTGCCAGTTGTTCAGGGTAATAAAACTGCGGCTAAAAGGCTAAGGTTGTTTGGTGTGAACATGGAGTGTCCTACACAAGATGAATCTTCCTCGACTTTTCCTCATGGCACAAACACAATAGGTTCAGATGACTCTCCTCATTTCTCTTTCTCTTCTCTCCAGTCAAGATTGTCCAATAATAATAATACCCCACTGTCCCGAATGGAAGCTGAATATTCAAAGAAAGGAAAATCTTCCTTGTCCATTGATTTGGATCTATGATGAAGAGAAATACAGTGAACTGGTTGCATTTTCTTATTGTTGCCTTTGTCATCAAAATTGCGACAGGCGGCACTGGATTTAAGAAAGAGGGTTAAAAGATATTCAAGATAAGTTTTAGCTACTGAGTTTTTTTTTTTTTCTTCCTCCTTTTTTTATTTATTTCTTTAAATATTGTTTTAGTACATTAGTTAGTTGAGGTTTGGGATCTGTGAAGAGCTAAAGAAGAAGGTGCAACATATGAAGTTGAAAATTGTGTATAATACATATACAGAATATATCAGCATATTCCCAACTTGTTTATTAAATCATATTTTCCATTACTAGGCACTGGCCTTTCCAAACTGCATCCTGGCTTTTCCCCAGTTTGTTTGGGATATATTATATATATATATATATATAGTTCTCTGGTTATCATATCATCTGTACATTCTCTCTCCCCCTTCCTCCCTCCTGCCTGTCAGTGTTTACTTGTGCTGTTATGCATGGTAGCTGATGGATTTATAGTCTTAAAAAAAGAACTTTCTTCACACCCCCCCCCCCCCCCCCACCCCCCTCTCTCTTTCTCTCTCTCTTTTCTCCATGTTAGGTTAATTTATTATTTTTCTTGGCTTGTTACCGCTGAACAACTAAGCTGCAGGCTTGCAGGTAATGCACAGAAAAGTTGCAGCACTGTAAAAGGTAATATCTGTATTCTTATTGCTAATTTGAAAAAATTTTCCTGCATATTCATCACTTCTCATTTGTTGCCAGATAGATTTTCCGTCACTACTTCTTGGTAATTCGTGTCTTCTCTTTACAGCCATGATCTTGTCTGGACTGCTACGCACAAAAAAGTTTCTTATGCCAAAGAGGGTTCAGATTCCCCAACTGATAGGTCTATTAAGACTGGACTTCACCCAATATTTGTAAGAACTCATTGCTTTGTTGAATATTTTTTTGGATTTATATATTTGCGTCAAATATTGTCAGCGGTGCATCTGATAAGTTTTAATTAAGTTCAATTAAAGCACCATTAATTCAGCCTAATGACTCTTTACGTATTGGTTAAATTACATTGTACAAACAGTACTATTTACACAGGTTCTTGTTGGTTATGTTTCCATTTTACTATATATACTTAATACAAAGATTCCCCAGAAATATTGTGGATTACGAGAAAACACTGATATGCAACAGCAGGTAGTTCAGGTTACTAGGAAAATAACTGAAGCAGTACTTTGTCATCAAATATAGCTTCTCAAATGACATGAAAAGGTTAAAATAATGTTTGATTCAACTAATAAATACTTTTAGGTTGGTTATATCAGCAATTTATAAGCATTCAAATCCACTAGTATCCCTTGAAGAAGATCTGATTTTCTCGGTATGCATGCTGTAGGGGTAATTGGTAATTCAAAATATTCACTGTAACATTCTCAATCAATTATTTATTTTCACTTGTGAAACTGAGTAATATGGCTTCCAAATTGGCTAAAATAGTAGTAAAGCATTAAAATGCAGTGAATTTTCTCTTGTCCTTCCTGGTTAGTCTAATTGCATTCATGAATAAATTACACAAAACCTGCTGGCATCTATGTCTAGTCAGCGAAGAGAAATGCATTTCTACTTTGATATATCTATATATATTGCTTTCACTGTGTATATTAGGGGCATCTGTGAGTGTTACTATGGTCACTATTAGAAGTACTAATCTTTGCCTTGGCCTTGAAGAGTAGTTTGACAGGTTTTTAAAAGTCTATGCAGCAAATGCATATCTTCCATGGTTTTTATATAATTTTGACCAATTTCTACATGTCTTATTCTGGATCATGCATTCACTTGATTTCATGCTTCGAGCTTGCAATAGTTAGTTACTGCATAATTCCATATTTATGGGATCAAGACATCTGCATCTCAAAAAGATGTATAGAATTGATCATGTTGATGGTATAGATACAGATGCTAGAAGTGTATACAGTTCTATCAGTATTATCCCACAGAAAATCTCTAATATGTAAGAAAACTAAGAGATTAAAAAGAAAAGAGCTATTGGATAGATTTATGCAGATAAGCATGTAAAGCATACCAAAGTAACAATAACAGAAACAAAATACTCTCTTTGCATTCTTATTAATTACCGCAACATATTTTTTTATTCAAGGAAGCATTGGTTTCTGAATTGTGCAATGATGAAATATGGAGTATAAAAGTTGTGATTATCTGTTCTTGTGTGTGGCCATGCAGTGCAACAGTGAATTAAAATAAATACTATTAAAACATACTACTGCAGTACATTACTTTCCATAAGAACTGAATGCTACACAACTGCCATTCGTTATATAAACATTATAAAACTTCAAAGGCTGTGTGCCAATAGTTGGGGCCAGGGTGATATTTTGGTTCATATATGAATTGTTTCATTAGTTTGAGACATTGAAGACCGTGAGAGGTTATAATTTTTATACAGAAAGATGTAAATACCAGTGGCATATGGTGATGGTCGCAATATCTAAGATCTATGTCAATTATATATCCATCTGTTCAGATTAAATTATCATAGAAAGCAAACAAACTTCCATTTGATTAGGCAAGTTACCAAATATTAATGAACTTTAAATAGAATTGGTTTGTATACTCATCCACTATTTAGTCTTCCCTAACATTGCACCAGTAGTAAACCATATATATACTTGAATATGCATGAGACACAGCTGCACTACGTTTAGTAAAAGAGTAGAAGTTGGTAATGTCTGCTTGACTCAGGGTCTCTCTCTCTTAACATGAAATGCGTAGCTAGGCCTTCTTTTTTTTTTTTATTCTGTGGAATTGCAGTCAAACAAATAGACTTGTAGCATCTTCTACCCAAAAGAAAACACAGCTTATATGAATTTGATTAATTGGATAACATTTGCATTACATTGATCCAGGACTTGCAGAAAAAATTTTAACAGAAATCATTCTGTGCATGCAAATTCCAGTTCCATTTCTTCTAAATGTAAAAAGTCAAATTTCGGTCCATCAATTATTGTGAGATAAGCAGTTAATGAAGTGTTTGTCACCATGAACACATAAGCATTGATACAATGTTTGGCCAAGAGAAAAGAGAGGGTAAAAAGAAAAGCTCACAAAGGAAAGATAACAAAGAGAGAGAGAGAGAGAGGTTGGGGGATTCTTTTAATGGCTGCATTGTTTCATAATTTGTTCGTAGCATAGATGATACTGTGCTGCATTGGTTAAAAATATTCAACTTGAAATCACGTGAGTGAATATCTCGCAGAAGTTGATTCCTGGTAAAGATTAAAAAGCGTGGTGTACATCTCAAATCGAGTCATTCAATTTGTGTTTGCTGCTAGTTGAGATGACAAAGGAAGTACTCTGAAACGTTCTTTTGCCACTGTTTAGATGACAATGGAAGTATTCACTTCGCAAGCTACTGCTCAACCTTTCATTCTCTCACCGTCTCACAGTTATGCACAGTGAACCACTGTCTGCCATCTGAGCCAAGCCCTTATCAGTTAGATGCATCCATCCCTTCAAAATGAGGTGGAGAATATATATATATATATATATATATATTAGCTCATCGTGGGAGTATATGCGCTAGCTTAAGCATCAAGGAGACCAAGGATAGCATTACAGAAACAAAGCAAATTTTCAGGTAACCCATTTGTTCCTAATGCAGCAGGAGCATGATCATCTCCTTGATGTTTACATGATGCTTTGACACTGTGGGAAAAGATAAGGTCTAGACCTCTAACTAGCAATGAAGATTAAAGCCGCGGATGTTGGAAAGATTTTGATATATAAGAATATATAAAAGCATACGGTATATATTATTATATTTAATACAAATAAGGGAGCAAAGCAGCATGGGTTGAATTATTGTTAAAAAAGATTCATTAATATCAAAATCACAAGATTCCCAGCCTATACGCTCAAAAAGAAAGAAAGAAAAAAAGTCGTTGAAATTGAAGTCCCCCACACCCTATAAAGATAGATATACATAGGTTAGGTTTCATAGCCATAATTGACGATGATGGCGAAGATTACCACATGCGTGCGAGGCACAAAGAAGCTCAAGGGAGCCAAACAAAAAACAAAAAGGCAAGCGAGTGGCTTCTTTCATTTCTGATTTCACTGTTAAGTTTTTTCTTTTTGGCTTAAACATTTTTTCCCACTTTATTTTGAGGCTGTTGCAGGAGGCGTGAATTGTCCAAACTCTATGCTGAAAAAAACAATTGCATGGACCACGCTCCTGTTTATGTGCTTTCAATTCCATTTATATCTAAGTCGACGGTGGATACTCAAAATTGATGCTTTTTCCCTGTGTTAATTAAAGCTTCCTATTGCTGTCACTAATTGAATCTTTTTCCTTCTTTTTTTTTTTTTTAAGAAACGAATTAAGATTTGTTTCTAATCATATATTAGTTGATGGAAAGATTTCATGAATACCGTGATAAGTCTCTAGCCATAAACTAACAGATATGAGACTTAAGGCCATATTGCAATAAAAACAATATGTATGTGTGGTAACGGAGAAAGTTAGAGAAGTGCAATTGGATTCTCAAGAGCTAATTAATTTGATGTCTCCCCCTCTTTTTAATTTTCGTTGAACCAATTGGTCCCCTTCCATTGGTATAAGAAAAAGAACATTACTTTTAATTTATTTATAAAATTTTAACTTTATATCTGAAATACATGTAACAATTTGAACTTCAAAACATACCGGACATCCTATTTCGATTTCATATAATATAGTTTTTAATTAATTCACAACTCGCTATAAATATAGACAGACAATAGCAATATTATGCCGATAAATTGTGGTGGCAGGAGCAAAAAATCTAGAACTTATTTTCCAATTCCATTGACATATTTATTTCTAAGACAGTAACCTATTAATTAATTAACCTTGTTCATGTAAAGGAAATTTTGCCTCCTTCGAATAGAGGAAATATACACCAAGGAGATTAATTGTGAGTGCTTATTTATCCAATTATTAAAAACAAAAGTAGATTAGTACCCTTTTTTTGTTGTAAAATATTGTTAAAGTATAACTTTTGAGTAATGATCAAATCTTTCAGAAATGAAAAGGAAAGTAAAGGGGAAATAAAAATCTCAAGTTGCTCAAATAGATTTTGATAAGATAAAGAATGTGAGTTATTTCATGCAATCTCTCTCTCTCTCTCTCTCTCTCTCTTGGTGATAGATGGGAAAGTTTGGGCAAGTGTGTATATGTAGGAAATGTCCACAGAGGTCTGCTACATTTATTGTGCTAAAGTATAACAGTGATGGAAAAAGACTAATTAGCTACTGGAGATCTAGTTTGAAGACACCTACTTGCATGTTGATGTTGGTCCCAAATTTGATCAAGTTATATGGGGGAGACGATGCTCAATTAAATGGAAGTTGGTCCTGCGCCGGCCATTTTGTCCAAGCTCAATTATTAAAATTTTATAACTTTAGGGTGGATGATGGACTTGTTACCAGGGTGAAGATAGAAATATAAATTTCTACCATAAGTTGTTCCCGAATTGATGGATGGGCAAAGAGGTACAGTAGCAAAGCCCGGTAATGTCCACATGGAACAGATATTTTGTCCTAGATTCATCCCCATCTGGGTATAGCAGCAAATTAAGTTTCCCTCGGTGACCAAGAAGAAGGAAAACGACAATTGGCTTCTGATGATCGAAGATGGACAGTGTAAAGGAGTTTGTGTATGTCAAATTCATGTTCTGTAACAACCGAACCTGACACACTTGGATTCTAGTCTCGAGCAGCGGATGAAGTAAGAACTCATGCTATCACAGGTTACGGTCAAGAAGTTACTTTACCTTCGCTGAGATACATACATTTTTAAATATACTATATATATATATATATTTAATACTTTCGGCTTTCCCCCCAAAATCCCTTCTCGAATACCCGAATCCGGCCCCCCTTTTCCCCGTTCAGCATTCGTCCATTCCCAAATCCGCAAATCATCTCTGCCCTCTGTCTCCGCCTCTCAATCTCATAATACCGCTGAAATAGCCCTCAAATGCCATTTCCCGCATCACCAGTCGACAGTCGCCGACCACAAATCATCACTTCTTGATCTCGCGTGGTTTGATTTTGTTTCAGGTAAGCAATTCTTTACTTAAGTCATTTTTAGCTTAAGTTCGTAGTTTTAGTTATTTCTTATAGCTTTGATTCGACGTGCTTTCTTTCTCTCTAGGGTTTGAATTTTTGGCCATTCAAACTCTATTTAGCTTAACTGAAATGCCCTATTTTTGGTGCTGGTTCGGTGATTTTTGTTTGAGAATCGTTAGGGTTTAGTTGATTTGAATGATGCATTTCTCTTTTCTGGGTCGTTTGTTTGCAAAATTTTGTAAGCCATAAAAAATTTGAATGATGAATTAACAGGGATGAGCATGGTTTGTTTTAATCATTGATTAAACTATGATAAGAAAAACATTAATTAAACTAATGTAACAAGATCTAGCTATAAATAGGAAATGTGCATATTAATTATTAGAACATACTTCAAGACTAGTTGACATCAATGGTTGTCTTAATAATTGTATTTGGTATATGTGAAAATTTAAGTTCATTGAATTTTAAGTTACATTAAAGAAGATATTTCTTTTTTTTTTTTCACAAGGATTTTGAGCTATATGGAACAAGATAATTTCTATCCAATAAATCACATAAGTCTATTATAAGATAAGAATTTGAGATCTTAAAAACCAATGAGTCTCAAGTTGTAACCAAAGGAATGTACTTATGACTGTCACCATTCTCTATCAAAAATTTGAATTTGAAACGTCTAAATTGAAAATTTCAAGTTCTAAATATTATAATGTACTTATTGGAGACTAATATTATCTAAACTGATACTACATATAGTTTGTTTTTTATTTTAGTCTCCACAAATTGGATGGATCACTTTTCAAACAATTTAATTCAAATGATTTGTAGTAAGCAGTTTTTTGGTTGGGTGATTGAGTTGGACAATAATTCTACCTTTTTTTTTCCTTTACATTCTTTCTCTTATCAAAATCTTCTTGGAGCAAGTTTAGCTTCTCTTTTCCCCGTCACTTTCCTTCTCATTTTTGAAAGATCTGACCATTAGTCAAAAATTATACTTTTAACAATTTTTTTCTACAAAATGTTACTAATCTACTGTTTTTTAATAATTGAATTTGAGCTTTTCTAATTTGTGATAACTATTGCATATAACAAATTCACATTACAACTAACTAAAAAGCACACAAAATCTGTTTGATATTTCCTCTATCCATTAAGGGTGAAATTCTCTTTAAATAAACAAGGTTAGTAGGTTACAGTCTTACAAATAAATATGGCAATGGAATTGGAAAGCAGGTTCTAGATTATGTTTTTTGCGAACACCACAATTTGTCATATGTTGTTGATATTGTCTGTCTTTATTTATAGCTAGTTTTGAACTAACTAAAACTGTGTTACATGGACTTGGAATAGGGTATCAGACATGGGGACATTATGTTTTTTTTTTTATAATTTTTACTTTAATTTTGATGGTCAAAGTGTTATGTGGCTATAAATAGTGAAATATTTAAGAAGTCTCAAACAAGGGTACATTAGGATAAAGTTAAGAGTACATGTAAAATAGATTAAGTGTAATATTCTTTTTCTAATATTAACTAAGTGGATGTACAAGAGGAGGCTAACTGGTTCAACAAAAGTTCGAAGGAGAGGAGACATCAAGTTAGCTCTTGAGAAGCCCATCAAACTCTCTCACTTTCTCCATTTTCACATATTTTCGTTCTTTCTAGTTAATCCTTTAAGAAATCAAAGCAGATAAGATGTATATTTAGTGACAGCAAAAGTTAGTCCAGGGAAAAGCATCATTTTTGTGTATCCTCTATCAACTTAGATATGGAATTAAACACATGCAAACACAGATGGTCCTTGCTATTTTTTTAGCATACCATCTTAAGACTAACACCCAAAAGAGTTTTGAGACGTTTCACTCCTCTTGCATCAGTCTCAAAATAAAGTGGAAAAAGATGTAAGCCAAGAAGAAAGAACTTAACAGTGAAATCAGAAATGAAAGAAGGTACTCTCTGTTTTCTTGTTCTTTTTTTTTGTTTTGGCTTTCTTCATCTTCTTCGTACTTGCACACAAGTGGTTTCTTTATGATCATCAATTATGCCTATTAAACTTAACCTATGTATATCTCTCTTTATAGGGTGTGAGGGACTTCATTTCAATGATTTTTTTCTTTTTCCTTTTCAGTGTAGCTAGGAATCTTGTGACTGAAATTAATGAAATCTTTTGGGCCTATTTAACTAGGGCCGTGGTTAGCCCATGTCGAATGTAAGCCTGGCCTAAACTTTTGGGCCTTCCCAAGATAAGTCATGACCCAAAATATTTAAGGGTGTTAGATCTGGAGTTTGTCCAACCTGATTCTTTCCAAATGAATGAATTTCAGTTTCTGTCTGTCTGATCAAGTGTCCCCTTCGGCTTTGCCATTGCAAATTTGCAGTTGAAGTCCAGCCTTTTGCACTGTCAAATCTCCTCTAGTGAAAAAAAAATCCCTACACACAAATTGAACTTTCTTTCTTGTTCAGGGTTAATGGAATATCGATGTGTCCAGTGCGGGTTTCAGGTCAAAACCCTGTTTGTTCAATACTCACCGGGAAACATTCGATTGATGAAATGTGTAAGCTTAACCATTATTTCTCTTAATTTCTAAAATCATGGTTTTTTCATTTACTCCTTTAACTTGTGGATTTGAATTTTTTTAATAGGAGAAATGTAAAGCAGTTGCCGATGAGTATATCGAATGTGAGCTCATGGTAAAGGCCTTCTAATAGCTTAAAAAAAAACTGACTTTTTTAGCATTTTTCTCAAATACCATTTTGATTTTTTTAGTTAGTTTATTACTGTTTCTTTTTTTAAGTTTTGGGTTAATGATTTATTTGTTCAATTGGTGTAGATTGTTTTGATTGATTTAATCTTGCACAAGCCAAAAGCATATAGGCATCTACTTTACAATGTACTCAACCAACAAGGTACCTATTTTCAGGTACAATTACAATGTTTGGTTTTTCATTGTTATTCAGTTTATATTTGTTTGGTTAATTGATTAATTATTAAAACAGGAAATTTGGTGTTTGTTTTATTACTGAGAATCATGGGTGCATGCTGACTCTTACATAGAATTGGGTATGTTGAAAACTTTGCAGGGTCTATTGTGGAAGCTATTATTTGGTTTTCTCGTTCTTGATGCTTGTATCCATTTTAAGTATACTTTAAAATTGTTCAAAAATTCTTTGAATTCTTCATATTATATGTATTGGGTGCCTTATCGATCCAAGATAGAAGTTTGCTTGTCAAAAGACATGATGAAAAATGGGGCATGTCCATGAGCATTTCTTCATATTTTTGGTTATATCGAAAGGTTTGTTCCTCTTGTGCAAGTGCTAAAAAATTTTAGATTCTTGATTTCTAATATGTTTTGTTTGTATACAGTTTTGATTGATGTCTTTGCTAATGCCAATTGTAGATATTGGTGGACGTATTTCTTGGAAACTTTATGTTTCTATGTTGTTTTCTTCTTGCGATCAGGAAACTTCTGAAGACATCAGCTCAATTCTTTAGGTATGTATTTGCATTTCTCTTAGCTGAGTACTTATTTTTGATTTCTCTCTGGCTAGTGAACTTTGAAATGTGGTTTATTGGTAATAGCCACAGTGCTATAGATAGGTAGCCAGTATTCATTGGTAGGGTAGTCAGGAGACATGCCCTTGGTTAAGATCTACCAGATGGCAGAAGCAAAAGAAGTCGTGGAAGGGAGAGGGGAGGATGGGGATAGCATGAAAAATTTTAAGCTGCGGAAATTTCCAAATTGGGAACTCAGAGGTAGCACTAGGAAGAGATTAGAGACAATTGGGAGCTCAGAGGTAGCACTAGGAAACGATTAGAGACAGTTGGCTACAATGTAATTGTAACTTCTAGATCTTTTGGGAGGTATGAACAAAGTTGATGAGGCATCACAGAAATTAGGATTGTTCCAAAACTATTCAGTGTTACTGGATAATTGAATAAGGTAGTACCACTGACTTAACTATTTGTTAAATTCTTTGTCTGATGTATTCTTTGTTTAACATAGCAGTTAATGTACCTACTGTTTCTAACCTTCACAGGCTCGGCAAACTTTTGCTCGCAGTTCTAATTTCAAGTTACTTCAAGATTTTGCTTGTTGCCATGATGGTTTGCTTTCTAATGCTAAGATCTTATTTCTATAAAATATGTTGCTGGCTTCTTCATTTTCTCCTGGACTTTTTCTCTTCTATCTGTCCACTTGTAATCCAAGATCATCCATCTAACTTCCGTTATTGCATTCTGCAGGTCTGGGAATTTCCACCTTCAGTGATTTACATCATTGATTTATTAGTTTTATCATCTAATACAGTGGCACTAAAAGGTGAGATAATCAATACTTCACAGTTTTTCACATGACAAATAATAAGCATCTATTTTTTATATAGTCTTGATAGCGGTGATTGTTGGGTGCCAACTGCATGAGCCTTGAAATGTGGTAAAGTAGGATCTTTCCTTGCTCTTGAATGTGGCAGTTGTCAGTAATCAAGGTTAGTAGGGGTAGATGAATATGCCCTTGTAGATAAGATAATTTACCATAACTTACCCAAAGTGGGAGGGAGTTGTGGGGGAGAGGCATGATGAGATTGAGGATTCCATCCATGGAAAAGATTACCATTTGTATTGTACATCGCAATAATTTTATGATTTTTGCAGTACTTTGATATGTAAAATCTCAAATGTTATTACCCAAAAAAGAAAAAAGATGTCCAATGTGTTCTTGAATTAGCTAATTTTGCCGCTTGAACTTAAATATGTTGTCCTGTAAGATCTAAAAAAAGATCTCATTGATAGCTGAATTGTCTACTTCATCCCCGTTGGCAGATACTGATGAATTGTTTCTTTGTGAACTAGTGATAACCGAGTCAGATATGAATCCATGTGTAGGGGCCTGCTTCATTGCGCATGCTGTAAAATTTTGTACAACTCAGGCTTTTTAGTTCAGGTCATTGAGATATTCTATCATTTGTTTTTTGTTTGAATATCCGTACTGTATTCAAACTGAAAATAATTCTTTTCTTCCTTTTCTTCTTTAATCTTGTATTCCATGTGGTCGCTGCACGAATGTAAACATCACAAGTGTTCAATATCTTGGGCTGGAAGTCTAATATTGTTCAAGGCCCATAAAAAAGCCAGCAGTCCCACTTAGCCATATAAACGAGTTACAATCATTCCTCTTGGAAGTTGTAGTATTGGATTAGGGCTTGTGGTGCCTCATCGAATCAAGCACTGGTCATGACTTGTACACAAAGGCAAAACTTCATAACCCCATTGGGAAAAAGATGTAAAAACCGAATCTATAAAACGAACTAACAAAGATTGGTGCCATGTCAGAGCAAATCCTTGGAGACTGATCCTATTAAGGCTAAGCAACGGTTGACTGCAAAATTTCATGGCATATTAAATTACTTAAAAGTAAATGATATTTTTTATTTTTATAAAAAAATAAATAGTAAAAGTGTTAACTAAGTGGAGTGATAATTAAACATAGCTGCAAGCATAGGCAGTGATACGGTTTGGATGCTAATCATCCCAAGGTGGAGAGTTTGATCCCTTACACCATTAATTGGACCAAAATTAAAGATGGATGACACAAACAACTCACAAAAATACTCTCTGTTTACATTAGCTACAACAATAAAAATAACAAAGTAGTAATAATTTTCCATGGCATTGTTCACCACCCTCTCATACTACATAGATATCCATCTTCTCCATTATGGTCCTGGACTTATTTTGTAGCTTACATTGCCCATTCCCCTTGCTTCAGCACTAAGCTTTCTTTGATCTCTCTCATTTCTCCTATTAATTGTAAATGTAGGGAACGCTTCCATTATATTGGAAGGCTCCTATATTGTAACTGTCAACTTGTGCCTGATGGTTATTCAAAGAGTTGTTCTATTACTGAGATGGAGCCGCTTGAATATCTTCCCCTCTATTTAAGCGCTCAGATTCGATGCGTGGCCTTTTCCTAGACGACTCCATTGGGCAGGGATCATATGGTGATCCCATTGTGCTGTCAGTTCGGTTCTGTTGTTCGCTTCCCAAGACTTCATCAGTAGTGAAGTAAATCTTATTCCAAAACTCATCATCCTGTTCATTGGTGCTCAACTCGTCATTTTCAACCCCTTCAGGCGCGTGTGACAATTCAGCCATGAATAACCCTTCTAGTAAACACTTATCAAACTCTGAATCTTCCTGAATCATAAATAAAGACAGATTAGCTCTTGATCTGTTCATCATCACATGCAAAAGTAAGTAGTAGTTGAAAATCTTCGCTAACCATCGGAACGGAATTCTCTGCAACATGGTTTTCGAAAGCCAAGCTAGATCTCTCATTCTCAGCAACTAAAGTAGCTTGTTGATTGCCTCCGCCTACTGAATTGGTTTGATCATTAGGGATGAAAATCGAGCTCCGTGAGGAATTATCATGTTCACTAGTCCTACCAGAATTTAGGGTCTCAACACAGTCATTAAGAGCTTTCGGCTTTTGGTTAACTAGCCCACCAAAGTCTTCCTGGTTCTGAATCATAACCAAAAAAGAAAAAATGGTTTCAGATGTGATTATCATCATCCACATGGATAAATGGTTAGAAAAAAATATTTCCACCGATCTTACGTTTGGGATATCATCATCTGCAACATGGACTAGGAAGTTAGAAGGTAGCTTAGGGCCTTCATTCTCATCAACAAAGAAAGGTTGGTTGCTTCTTTGTTCAGTGTTGATCTCATCATTATTAATAAGGGAATCCACAAATTCATCATCATCCTGTTCATTTGTGGTCAATGTCGTTTGATTCCCACTATATTCATTAAATGCTTCCGACTCTGTTAATGGCGCATTAGAGTTTAGCTGGTCCTGAATCATAAACAAATTAACGATCGTTTTGGATATGTTCATCATTATTATTAACATTAGAGAAAGGGTTTGAAAAAGTTTCGTGTTAGGCATCTAACCTCTGGAATTGCATTGTTTGTAGCTTGATTTTCTAAATTTGAAGGCAAAGAGTGACTCGATTGGCCTTCTTCACCTCTTGAAACATCTACCTTACCATATTTTTTCTTCAGTCTACAAAGAGCTATTCTTTTCTACAGAAAATTAAATGAAGGAAAAAAAAGCTGTGTTACACCCATCAAAAAATTGGACGACGAATCGTACAGGTAATGAAAAACAAAACAAAGGGACTGAAAATACTAAAAAGAAAAAGAAAAAGGCAATATGATTCATCCATGGTGGCTAGAGTAGCATATAAGAACATACTTGGTTTGGTAGATTAAGAGGGATTTCGAACTCATGTATGACCCATTGGGTCTTTTTTTCGTTCTTCTTTTTATCCCTAACACGACCTCGGTAGAATACCAAAGTTTGCCTGCTTCCTCTGATCTCTTGTCCATTATATGTTGTTAATATCTCACTAGGTGTCCCCGTTGGTTTCCAGTATCCTTCCCTGGTAACCCTGTTTTTCCTTTCACTATTGCGGTACTTGTATTTCGGTGAGCAGAAGAAATACCAAAGGTTATCTCCGGGCTCTGACTTCGAACGCCCTGCAACAGACAAAGAAAACCCAAGAGAGAAAAACGGCAATTACAAGTGGGCATCAGGAACTGCAACAACATGCAACAAGTGCTTTACCAGGCAATTCCCAAGGTTCGAACTCGCAGATATCTTCGAGGTGTGTTATTACTGGAACAAGGAAATCACCGACTTGGACAATCGAATCACGGTCGAGTACTCTTTTGTCCCATAGATGCTCGATAGCTTCTGCGTCTGTTGGGTGGAATCTGAACCCCTTTACGTAGTTCATTTCAAATCCAGAGTTCCACAATAGCTAGCTAGAAAAAGAAACAAGATGAACCAAATTGAAAGCAGATATTTGGTGGAAATACTCTGTCCCTCCTCTTATATGTAGCAGTCTTTGCTAGTGCTAGCAGATAACAGTGAGTCAGTAAGAGTACTACACTACTATCGTTACTTGGGGCAAAAGAACCCACCTTGACCCCACTAAACCGTGTCTACATTTTCCAATTTCCTATCTTTAAACCTGTCTAAGTATCATGAATGAGATATTTGGAGCTTAGAAATCTGCCATACTAACTAAATACGTGGCAAATTCTGTGTGCATGCACAACCAAAGTGATCCAAGTGGAGCAACGAATATTTGCGACATTTATCATACTTAGCTTGGTATTTTATTTACATGGGATTTTAGGGAAATTGCTTTCCATGTTCTAGCCGACCCCACCAGCCCTGCCATTCTTCTTGATCCTTTCTTTTTCATTGTTCTCGACCAGTTCCCCATCTGGTCGTCCTTTTTGTAAGTTTGTTGTGTTCCGCACTAACTATGGCCGATACCTTTATTCCGACCCGTGATGATTTCATCAATCCTTTGGAAATAAGTTTCATTTTGGATTCCAGAATCTTCGATAGGATCGTGATTGAAATTATTTGGTCTAGAATCTTCTATGACAAGCATCCTATTTGTTGATAACCATAAGGGCAAGTTGGTGCCATGGTTCCACCCTTATGTTTAAACAATATTTACAACTTAAAGGCCAAGTTCTCTGTAATCGCTCTAAAGAGTAGGGCATTTGGGCAGAGTTTTAACTCTATAATCACTCTAAAGAGAGACACAACAATCACTATATCGAACCTGAGTTGTCACATTTTCGCAGTGTTTAATATCTAAGATGTTTGCTTAACTTGTTTGATTGACTTTAAAGTGTAAGCTTGACATCAATACAGAGATTATAGCAAGGTAAAATTGACTACACCATGGCGTTCCTATGTTTCTTTGAGAACACTTGATAACTGATTAAGCCAACAATGGAATCTCCTGTGGAGGAAAGAAGCAGGGGGGAATGGAAGAGTCTATAAACAAGAGACTGAATTGCTTGCTGCCTTTGCAGTAAGTTATTAATCGATTGAACAATTTAAGGCATCAACAGTAATTTTTTCTATAAAAGAAAAAGAAAGAATATTTTGTATGCAAGTAGTTTTCAATCCTGGATATAGATGTTGATGCATTAGTTAAATTTAAATAAACAGCCCTGCATCCCAAATACTAAGTGGGATGCTTTAACTTTGGAAATTACATAAATTAGTGTGGTGACACGTAATAGAATTTTGGATAATACAAATAAAGTTCATTTTTCACTTCTTAATCCTTAAATACAAAAAGAAAATAACCTTTCCCAGAAACTTCAACCAGCAAGATTGGGTGGAAGAACCAAATCTTTAATACGCAGCTTCCCGTTTGAAGTGATTTGAGACAGGCACCAAGAACAAGAGTCAAGTTAGAGCAACAGCCAACAAAACTGCAGTTACATCATAAACTTATCTTATTTATTTCTTGCTTTAATACATGCATAACAGAATTTGGGACTCCAATCTGCTATCCTTGCATTAATTGCAAGGGCAGAATACCGACAGAATACAAAGATGCATCAAGGTGATGCCTAAGTAATATAAATCATGAAGATAATGAACATAAATTCATTATTAAGACTCAAGACAGACCCTTAAAGTAATACAAGTACATGGAGAAGGTAGCCCTATCAGCAATGTGAAGAAAGGATATGCCTAGATGACACATGCCTTCAATATGTTGGAACCAGATAGTGATTTGTCATGATAAAAATGCGGGTATTGGGTGTGAGAACAGCATAGGGATGTTTTTTCTTTCATTATCAACTCCGAGGACCAATTGCTGCTATAGAAGTCAATTCATAAATGACAGCTATAAACAATATTATGCCTAGAAGTTCATTGACAAAATATACTAACGGTGAACTAGATTTATGGTTTAATGAAGGTTTATCTAGGTATATGAAGAAACCTCTTTGATCACTTTCAGCTGACTCACTCCAGTGCATCTGCAAGCTTTTTTTTTTATTGGTTTCTTTTGCCTTTTTAAACTTCATGTTAGATTCCATAACAGCATTTTCCATTTGAGGCAGATTATCAGCAGTGACATGCTGTTTTACATCTCTAGCCTGCAAGGGGAATGAAGCTAGCAGTTAAGAGCAAATGACATAAACCTGAGCATTGATTTGAAGAACATCTTTCCTCAATGTAGGTGAAACATCATATTTCAAGTAATGCAGGTTGATTCTCTCACCTTGTCTAGGGACACTGTTTTCACAGAAAACTTTCCCTGCTTAGTGATTCTTTTTGGATCATCTTCTTGCTCTATTAAATTTTGAGACCTCTCTTGATATTGAGGATTGTCGAATCTTGTTGCATAAGGATAATCTACACTTTCTGCTAAAGCAACATGAAAAATGCAATGCAGATCGACATCTGAGTCACCAGAAGGGGCATCCATTTCTCTGGATTCATTATGGATAGATAACATCCTTTTCCTTCCATTGGGATCATGCTCTACAGAAGTTAAAGTTTCATTTGGTGCATTAACTGTTGCCATTGCTTGGGATTTTTTGGAACCGGAATGTTCATCAAGCATGCTTGAAGCACTCACTACCTGCTCATACTGTTGACATAAATAAATGAATAGAAAATTAACTAAGCATCCGAAATGAAAAGTTACAGAGCAATGTACAAGTTTTGAAAGGTTAAGGGGCCAAGAATGCAGCAAAGCATTTCCAGGGCCTGAGATTCTTTTAACCCATGTTAGAGCCAGAAAAACATAGTTTAATCCACAAAATAACGTTAATAAGATCATGATAACAGTTTGAGATATAAATCATTCTCACTCATACCATGTTTTCAGTAAGAGGAAAAAGAAGATATAATAAAAGGAGAAATGGTTCCCTTTCTCTCTTTTTCTTTCCACCCTTTCTTCATCCTTTCCTTTCTGTTCCACCAAACAAAGTGTGAGGTTGTTACAATGCACCCCTTGATATTCTTTTATATAATCACCTTTGTAGTTCATTTGCGAAATAGGTATGCATTTTCATTTTTGGTTAAGTTGGGCAACCAAATTCTATCCATAGAACAATATCACCAGAGCAACATAACAATGAGACGGACCGCACATCTTGTTTGCATAGGATAATACTCTAATGATATTTTTCTATTAATCAACATATCCATGAGCTATCTAAGGAATAATTTTTTACCGTTTCTTGACATTCTTCATTTTCAATGGCCTCGCATAGTCCACCATTTTCAAAGCGTGACCTTTTTCTAGAGGACTCCCCAGGGCAGGTCATACGCATATCAAAGGGCAAGCTGCAGCCCTCATTTTCATCAGGATAAACTTCGTCAGTATCGACCAAATATTTAGTCCAGGAGTCATCGTTCTGTTCATTGGAGTTAGATAGGTGTTGAACCCCACAATGGCCACCACTAAACTCGCACAAATATGTTGAATCCACACAAGAAGGCACCTGCTCCTCACGCATCATCGGTTGTGGTGAAGGAGACAAGTTGTTGTCAGCCTCATCCCTGCCATCAGGTTCTTCCAATGTGGCTAGCATCACATCAGGGTCGAACATGGCTGAGTTCTGAATCATACAGAAACACAAATAGTTATGGATATTTCTCAGTCCAAAGAGATTGAATTGACAATTTTGCACAAGGCTTCTTACTTCAGGAATCCCATCATCTGCAACCTGACTTGGCTCACAAACTTCACTCCTTGAAGTATCGGCCTTTTCATCTTCTTTATTCTTCAATTTACAGAGATAAATGCCCTCCTGCGCAGGTGGAAGTATAGTCAAGTTTCAGTCTTAAATTTTCAATAAGAAAAATGAAGAAATCGTTATTTTATTCAAGCTCTACGATTAGAAAACCTGAACAGACCTCACACATCAAACTTACTCTTAGGGACTTACCATTTTCCTCTAATCACCTCAATAACCACTGTAAATGACTTAGAGCACTGATCAACTTGTTGATATACAACAAGTTTGCAATTCAATTGAACCATCTCCCCAACCAATTAACGAAAATTACTAACGAAGTTCCACAAAGATAAGACAGACACCACTTGTTTAAGCTCAAATTGGGAAACAAGCAATTAATTTCTCAAGACTTACTCCTACAAGTAGAGTTAATTTCCCCATTCAATATCAAGAAAGATACTAAAAAGGGACATAAACTTGAATTCAAATATCAGTCACCTATAATGAACAAATATAAGCAAGCTAAAGCTAAGACTTATAATATAATTGTAGAAATAAGATAAAACAAAAGAACATACCTTGTTGTCGAGAACAGTAGAAATGAAAATGTACTCGTGCATGACCCAAGGCGTCCATTTTGCATTTGAACCACGACCCTGAAAAAAAACCAAAGTTTTCTTTATGGCACTCCCTCTCTTTCCCTTTACATTACGAGTCTTTCCCGTTATTTTCCAGAACCCTTTGTCGGTAGTCCTCTTGACCCGTTTGCTGTCCTTTCGTCGAGAAAAGAAATACCAAACTTGATCAGCTGACTTTATCTTAGAAAGCCCTTCAAAAACAAACCCCGGGATTAACAACATTTTTATAGTTTCAAACTGGAATACGTAAACAATAAACTTGGAATTCTTACGGGGTAGTTCCCAGGGATCTTTCCTGCAAAGGCCGTCGACCTCTTTTATAGCTTGGACGAGAGAATCACGGTCGAGAATTTTGTTCCATAGATAATGGTCTACGAGTTCTTTGTCAGTTGGGTGGAATCTGTATCCCACAATGTCGCTGTTGCTACTGATGCTTCCCATCTCACTGGATAACGAGAAACAAACGAAAGAATGATGAGATGAAGAGGAAAAGGAAGAAGGGCGATGATGAAAGAAAGGAGAAAGCGAGTGAAGAGATGGTTTCAGATTTTCAAAATGACATTAGAGATGCCATGTTCGTAGACAGAAGAGTGAACTCCGTTTGCCTTACTGGAGAAGTTTAATGGAAAGGACAAAAGGATTCTTGCTGGGTCCCGCATACCGTGTTTTACAAAAATGCTCAGATAGCTTATTGGTCACAACTCTACTGCCACGATGGCAACTTTGATCCTTGGATTCACAGCTTTGTAGGAATTGGGATGCTCACCGATCAACGTTCCAAGTTTCTGGTGCATGCAATCCAATCGACATGGAAGTGGAATGACCAAGTTGCTACATTTCTAAGAAGATTTTGTAAAGAGCAATTTTCTCATACAATAAAACGTGACCTTATATTATTTAATTTATTTTACTTAGTTATAAAAAACGAATTAAGTTTATATGGTTTTAACAAAATGATAATATTATAATCCATAATAATATCTAATAAAATGAGCTAAGTTTCAACATTAAATATGGATTTTAAGAGTGTAAGTTTGAGTTTAAATCTTATAATAATGGGTAGGATTATGATTTACTATATACAAAAAAAAATTAATCTTTTATCTTATTTGTAAGATCTCAATGTAGAATTACAAAGCAAAATGAGAGAAAGATTCAAGTACATTGAATACTAACAATTAATCTGATTAATATTAATTTTGTTGTCAATTCATGAATCATAAAATCGAATACAATTTGAATGTATTCCAAATTTCAACTTTAGAGAATTTTGAGTTAAGATTAAATTATTTATACAAAAAGTATATCCATTAGTGTAAGAGCAAATCATAGTTTGAATATATGATCTGATTAAACATTATTTTACGTGGTTTGCCATAAATTATGTCATGTTTAAGTTGATATCTTTAACCATTCGAAAATTTAATTTTTGGCTACTAATGCTATCAACAAACAAAGAGCTTTTGTTTCTCTTAATATGAGAAATAAATCAGTATATAGATTGTAACTTAGTTTGGCCTGTAGCGAGAGAACTCAAAATTTTAAATTTTGAGTCGAAATTAAAATTCAATTCTTGAATCATTTAAATAAGTATCGAATTTATAAAATCAAATATTAAGAAAAATTAAAATAAATTATAAATAAGTACTGAATTTGCAAAATTTAGATTATTGATGTCAATCTATGTTGTTTTGATTAATTTTAGTGCATGGGTTTCACAAGGCAAAGTCTTAATTGAGTTTTGGTAAGGTCAATTTCATTAAATAATACTTGGAAACCCAAGTAACAGATATAGACTTAATACTGAATCAAATTTTAAGAATTGGAAAAGAGAAATAGAGTTTGTCATTCAAATAACAGATATAGACTTAGTAATGAATGTCGATAGACTTGGAGAACCTATCGTTGAAAGTTATAAAGAACATAAAAAAGCTTTTGAGATATGGAAGAAATCCAATAAGTTATGTTTTCCTGTTACAACTAATACAAAAGAATTCTCAGCTGCAATAGTTCAAAGATATAAGATGTTGTCAAATGCTAAAATTGGTAATTTTATAAAAGAATTTTATTCCATAAAATATGATGGGATAGGAGGAATTAGGGAATACATAATCAAGAAGGTCCACTCCACTGTTAAACCAAACTAAGAGTGTTTGAGATTATTATTCCTAATACTTGCATTGTTCACCAAGTCTTGAACACCTTTCCTGTTGAATTTGGGTATGTAGTCACTGCTGGTAACTCACAAGATAAGACATGGAGTATTAATGATCTTATTATGGAGGAAGATAAGATTAAAATTGAAAAGATCAACAATGTTTTTCTTGTTACCAAAACTCATCATAAAAAAAGTGAATAAAAACTTAATCCTATTGCTTGTAAACAACTTGAGGATAAAAAGACAAAACATAGTCAATGTGAGGGGTTCTAAAGTTGTCATCAAGAAGGACATTAAATGCTTTTTTTGGAAGAAAAATGGACATAAAAAACAAGATTATTTCAAATAAGGCTTGGCTGGAGGAGCCTGAACGTGAAGATAACTCCTTGACTCTTGTTGTATATGAATCCAATTTAATTGAGGCCCATCCAATTCTTGGCGACTAAACAATGGAGTAATTAATCATGTTGCTTTTACCTTACTGGGCCATCAGTAAGCAAAAGTCAAATAAAGATGAGTCCAAAGTCACAATTTACAATAATACAGAGATAGAAGTTGAATTTGTAAGCTTAAATTTAAGTATGAGATGTACACTTTTATTGAAAAACACTTTCTATGTATTGTTATTTAGTCAAAATTTAGTTTTAGTTTCTATACTTAAAGAGAAAATTGTAAAGAAAATATTGTTAGATTTTCTCAAATTATAAAGCGTGAATTTATATAGTTTAATATATTTTTCCTATTTATATAAAACAAATTAAGTATATTTAATCTTTATAAAGTGATAATATTACAATCCATAATATCATCTAATAAAGTAAGTTAAGCTTCAATATCAAATGTGAACTTAAAAAGAGTTCAAAAAAGATTATATCTTCTCTCTGTTTACAATAACATTAAAATCTCATCCTTTTGAGTTAATTATAAATTGTTTATACATAAACTATATAAAAAATCTCACAGGACATGAGCTAGAAGATGACCAAAATTAAGTTATTGAGCATAGATGATTAATATAAATATTTTGTCAATGGATAATGATTAATTTAAGTTTTAGTTTTATAACAGCAATGTTTAATGCTATGACAATGGAAACCATGAATAGTATAGTCAATAGTGCCCTGCCCAAAGTCCATTTTCTGTACTGAAGCGAAGACAAAACTAGTATAATTTACATTCAAAACTCTCACAAATTATAATATCGTAATTTACAAAACCAGTTCAAATCCAAGTGGCAACCATCTCATCTGAAACTCTTTCTTTAATTCCTACTAAAGGCCCCCAATATTACAAAAAGGGGTGTTTCTTTCTGCATGGGCGGGATTATTTATCCCAGCCAAATCCCTCACAATCCGTGCGTAACCTCTTTCTGGATGGATTTATGGGATAGGGTGATTCCATCATGCCTGCAAAGGGCAAGCTACAGCCACCATTTGCAGCAGTTGGATTTTGCTCTTCATTGGTGCTTGATTGGTTGTCTGAAACATCGGGTATATTTAGATAATTTCCAATCGTATCTGCAGGTGAAATCCAATCATCAAACCCTTGCCCAATACTGGTTCCTTGGACCTGAATCACAAAACAAGGTTAAGCAGTATTAGTTTTCGACATGTTTATCAATATTGTCTCCTCATCTACGAACAGTTTAAAGAATTTCTTAGAGAGCAATTTACCTCTGGAAGCGGATCTAATTCTGCAAACAGGTCATCCGTTGATGCTCCACCCAAATTTGATAAGTGCTAAATCATGGAGAGGAACAATCATCGACTCTAGATAAATGCTTTTAATTGCCACATTGTATAACTAATTAGTTAAAAATTCTCATAAGCCATATCTTACCATTTGAACTGTTTGTGCGGCAATAGGATTTTGGATAGTAGAGGGCATGGTAGATCCATCATTCTCGACAACGAATTTATGTTGATAGCTTATTCCATCAGTAGGAACTAAATTCCCAAAATTGTTGTCCTGTTCATTGGTGCTAGATTGATCTTGAGGTACCTCTTGTTGGATTGGTGCCTCATCACTAGGTTTTAGTTGGTCCTGTATCATACAAAAGTAAATATGAGTTTAGTTTGAATTGTTTTGTCAGAAATAATCAACATGAACAAACAATTACTTGGACACTTTGCCATAAGAAACTTACATTTGGAATTGCATTCTCTGCAACGTGGTTTCCAAAATTGAAAGCCAAATTGGAGCCTTCGTTCTTAGGAACATCACCTACAAGATATGAATCCCACAACTCTGTAGATTGATATTCTAGCCCGTCATGGTCATTAAATGATTCCAGCCGTGCTAATATCTCATTAGGGTCTGATTGGTCCTGTATCATATGTAGACAAATGAGGAGAGCTTTAGGTTCATATGTTCATCATCATGACTTTGGAAAATACAGCAGTAATATAAAGGGAAACTACCGTAAGGCATCTGGCGGCCTCTGCCGGGATTGCATTATGTGCAATATAATTTCCCAAGTTAGGAGGCAAATAGTGACTCGATTGACCTTCTTCTATGCATGGAACCTCAGCCTTCGCATACTTCTTCTTCAATTTACAGAGAATGAAAGTTGTCTACGCAAATGAAAGAACATAGCAATCTAAGTACCTTCAATGCAAGTAGAAAAAAAACAAGAAGAGAGAACTATCAAAAGTAGTAGGTATTATGCTATCAAACTTCAAAAAACATTTAGAAACATTTCCCTTAAATCACATTTCATAACCATTTTGAAGAGCTGTTGAATTTATATCTGAAAATTATAGAAATGAAGTTTGCAGTTCACTAAACCAGAAAAACAAAATGAGTTATGCAATCAATTCCATCAAATATATTGAGAATACAGTTGTAGCACGTAGTGATTAAGCAGCATGTATAGAAAGAACATACTTGGTTAGGAAGAGTAGCAGTGAGCTCGTATTCATGCATGATCCAACCGGTCTTGTTTTTGTAGTTGTCACTAACACGCCCTTTATAGAAAACCAAAGTCCTTTTCTTGCCAATCTCGGTCTCGAGGTCCCTAGCCATTACCTTACGAGGGTTGCCTGTCGGTTTCCAGTATCCTTCGTTGGTTGTCCTCTTGATCCTTGTACTATTACGGTACTTGTAATTCGGCCGATAAAAGAAATACCAAACCTGATCACCTGAGTGTATATTCGAATGTCCTACAAACCAAACGCACAGACACAAAAAACATTACGAAATTGTGCAAAATTAAGGGTGTCTGAAGCTACTAAGACAACACGATCTAACACAAATAATGTATTACCAGGTAATTCCCAAGGCTCTAATCCGCATATGTCTTCCACTTCAGCAATAGCTTGGACCAGAGCATCACGGCCGAGATTTTTGTTCTTTAGATAGTAATGGAGGAGCTCGAAATCCGTTGGGTGGAATCTGTACCCCGTAATGCTGAGTATTTTCTTCCACAAGTAGTAACCAACCGCAACCCAGAAGAGGTAATAGCAATAGTAATTGCTAAATCTTTCTTCATTGGTAATTGGCTGAATTATTTGGTATTCCTTTCTGTTCCTCATTTTCACCCAATTTTTAGAAGAAACAAGAGAGAAAAGGAGGACGATGAAACAAGAGAAACAAATTGAGAGTGAGCTTTGGAAAACTTAGTTGTATATGCAGGAAGAGGAAGTGAACTATGGACTGGCTTTTATGTACTAGCAGTCTAGCAGGGTAGTAGAAGTCAGAGCTCCCTCCGAAACTACGTTACTTGTGGCAAAAGATTCAAGTGGATGGACCCCACGAAACCGCGTTTTGCATTTTTCCAATTTCAGGACAGAGGGCGAAGGAGCTTGGAGTGATGCTATAGGCTTAGATCATTCCTCCAACGTGGCAAGCCTTTTGTGCATCCATGGAAAGAATAAAAGAGTCAGCAACACTGTACTGTACAAAATGGTGAGGAAGGATCGAGATTGTTTTGAATAAAGTTTGCATTTTAGATGTTCTTTTTCTAATGTTTCTCTACTCAAATATAATGTTTGTGAAGTTGTTGCTCACCATGGCCAATTGCAAGAGCCGACCCCAAATACCCCATCTTTCTGTTCTGATCTCTCTTTTTCACCATTACCATCCAATCACCTTCTCTGAAGTTGCTTGGTTCGTCCTTTATGTTGCCCTTTATTCCTATAGTACATAAGAAATTAGTCTTAGACATTCCAGAATGTTCCATGCCATGCTGTCTACGTTCTTCCATTGGCAGCGTGGCATGCCAGCACTTCAATATGTTTTGAGAGAAAGGGCTGTTGACAGAGTTTTAATCTCCTTTTTATAAAATATTTGAAATCTCATCCCCACCCATTCATTTGCTTAATATTTATTTAGTGTATTTATATACGCACACACTTTCGTTCTGTTGTATATAAACTGTAGAAGCAGGTGTTTATAAATATATTGTTGCCCAATGTGAAAGGGAAGGGCCATCAAACTGAACCAGCAAAAATCCGGTCTTTATTTTTAGTAAGCAGACGCAACCCATTCTTTCTCTCTTTTTTCTTATTTTTGGTACGGAAACCAACCCATTTGTAGTTGTAAATTACTAAGATGAATTTCTCTGACCCAGTTTCCTCTGCACCACCGTTCAATGAGATGATTGAAATTGAGAATTTTAAGTTATGATGGATTGACGGTTTCCATATGGTGGTGGCGCATTTGGCTATCGCGTAGGTCTCATAGCTTGTTATCCTGAGGTCGACATGAAATCAAATTTCAATGGAAGAATATTGAAACTCTAAAAAGTGAGCCTTCTCCTCTCATCCATAAAAGAAGAATAAGAAAAACTCGAAGAGGAACAGGAGGAAACTAAGCAATATACAAGGATACACTAAAGATGCCCCAATTAGAGCAGCATTTATAAACCGCTTAGACAACATAAAGATATGCCATACTGATATTCAGCAAATCTGCAGCTTCATTAGTATGGTGGGTCGAGTCGGTATCCACATCAGTCAACAGGAATAGGGATATGCCCTTGGTAGCAAGCTACTTAATTTCCATGTAGAAATAAGTACCAAAAGCAAAGTATGCCTAGGACTGCTTTAACATCATATACTGATGGGTAGAAGGGATTTATGGTTAAATAGAGGTTTATATACAAGAAAGTGAAGATGCTCTTTTGATCACTGTCAGTTGACCAAACCGCCAAGCATCTTCAAGCTCATTCTAGCATTGTTTTCTCCTGTCATTTACTGGTCTACTTTAGATTTGATAACAGCATTTTCCTTTGGGAGCATATCCATGGCAGTGACATGTTCTTCAATATCTATAACCTGCAAAAGCAATCAGTGCCTAGTTTTCAAGCAAAAATTTACAATCTGAAAACAAATCATAGCTTTCAAATGAAGAACTCATTTCCCAATAGAAAAAGGATAATCCTCATGTTTTTTGATGAATGCAGGTTGATTTTCTCACCTCGTCTTTCATAGGCAATTTTCCTTGAGAATTCCCACTACATAAAAATCCCCTTGACAGTAGGTTCCTCCACTATTAAATTGTGAGGTTCAAGTTGATTCTGGGGCCTGTACATTCTTGTAGCAACAGAGTATTTTGAAGAACAAATAAAGGCATATCTGCAGCACTGGCTTTTCCGAATTCATTGAGAATGTCTAACCTCCTTTCACTTGCATGCAGATAATGGCCCATAGCAAATAAAGTCACATTTGGTGCTTCAACCAATGACATTTCTAGAATATGTTTCAATCAGAATGAACTAATATGCTTGAAGTTCTAAGTGCCTGGCCGTATGTAACAAGTAGAAATCAACAGAAATAAATCATGTGCCCGAAACGACAAGGTCTAGAACCATGTAGCAGTGCACCACGGTTACAGGGCCAAGAATGCAGCAAAGTATGAGCAGCAAAGCACATTTCAATTTCACAAGCTTTAATTTTAAAAAAAAAGCTTCTTGATATTTGTGCTACGAATTAAAAAGTTGATCTTCATTAGAATATTCAAAGGATTATTATAACAATTTTTAGAATTCTCAGCTGAGAATGCTTATCCACACAGCATGTTTTTGGTAAGACGAAAGGGAAAGAAATTCACCCTCCTTTCCATATCCCTCCTACCAAAACAGGCGTACGATCATTACAATGCTCTCAAGTTACAATAATATTATTCTACAAAATCCACTTTGTAGTTCACTCGCTATTTGAGGCAACCCTTAGTTGGGCAAGACAAAACAAGTTTTATTCCATGAAATGATATCACTGAGCAACAAACAATGTTATGTCATGCATAGCCTGCTCCCGTTTTATGATGCTCCTCTAATGAGACATATCTATGGAATCAAACTTGAGTCTATGAGCTGCATCAAGGGCCTACCTTTACCCATGCTTGAGACACTTTAATTTCTATGACACCGTTGAATCCACCATCATCAGTGCATGGTCATTTCTTGGACAACTCTACAAAGTTATTTATGCCAACAAGCAAGTCAGAGCTCTCACTTCCAACAGCAAGTTGATTGCTTCTTTCATCAGACTAAGCATCATCCTCATTGTCGATGAAAATATTTTTCCAAAACTCATCATCTTGTTCATTGGTGCTAGATTGATTTTGAACTTCATGAAAGTTATCATTAAAACTACAAAAATTTGTGGAATTATCATAAGAAGGCACATACTCTTCGCATATCTGTGACTGTCGTGTAGGAGAAACACGATAGAACTCATCATCTTGTTCATTGGTGCTAGATTGATTTTGAACCTTACGAAAGTTACCATTAGAACCACAAAAATTTGTAAAATCATTATAAAAAGGCACATGCTCCTCGTGTATCTGTGATTGTTGTGTAGAAGAAACAAGATAAAACTCATCATCCTGTTCATTGGTGTTAGATTGATTTTGAACCTCATCAAAATCTCCGTACATTTGTAATTTCTGGGCAGAAGCAACCTCATCTTCAACCTTATTAGAGTCATTTGTGTCTTCCAATTGTGCAAGTAACTCATCAATATTGATTTCCCTGGAATTCTGATTCATAAAAAATATTACGTAAGGAAAACTTTTATCATTTTCACAGAGGGCATCGTGTGCATTTGAAAGTTCCATAGAGGGCATCTTACGTCAAAAATTTTGTCATCTGCAACATTACTTGGCTGACCTTCTTCGCCACTTGGAATGCCAGCCTTTTCATCCTCTTTTCTCTTCAGTTTACAGAGAAAATAACCCTTCTGTATGGAAAGAGGGAGAAAACAGTTTAGTATTAAAATCTAAACTAGCTCAAATAATTCAAAGGACTTGAAAGCAGTAATCAACTTTCCTCATTAAGTTCAAACTTAAGTATGCAATTAATAATAAAAGAAATAGAGCAACAAATTGGGTTGTGCTACGAACTTTAAGAAAATGAAATAAAAGTCGTAGAGGAGAACAAAGATCCAATTTTGGAACACGCAATAGTTATACAAAACTGGATTCTCCAGATTTACATTACCAATGCAAAGTTCAAAAGACAGTTTGTTACTTTCTGAAACAAATTCAAAATACAGAATCAAAAGAAATCAAGAAGAAAAACAGAATTCAGTATTCACATAAATTTGACCTTGATATCACCTACTAATGAATGAGTATAAGCAAAGCTAAACCTAAATCGGTGAACTGCTAATACATAAACATCTCTACAACCCAAAGAAATTGAAACAACTGTAACTATATACTAACATAATTCAGAGTTAGCATAGAAGAAGATACTTGGTTAGGAAGAGTATCAGGCAGGCTGTACTCGTGTATGACCCAAGGGGTCCATTTTCCCTTAGAAACGCGACCCTCGTAGAAAACCAAAGTCTTCTTAGTGCCAATTCCTACGTTGGCTTTTATTTGCCGATGCCTTCCCGTTAACTTCCAGAATCCAAGCTTGGTTGTCCTCTTGACCCGTTTATTGTAGTGTCTTCGACAAAAAAGATACCACACCTGATCATTAGATCTTCTTACTGAAAACCCTATAAAACAAAATCCCAAAAATCAAAGGTATAGAAGAGAAATTGCGTAACTTGTAATTTTTCATCTGAAAAAAAAAATTTGAGCTTCATACTAACCGGGTAATCTTTCAGGTTCATAGTCGCAAAGGTCGCCAGTGATTTCACCAATAGCTTGAACAGCAGAATCACGATCGAGGGCCTTATTCCATAGATAATGATCTATGAGTTCTTTATCAGATGGGTGAAATCTGTATCCCACTATGTCGTTGCAGCTACACCTGCTCATCTCGTCAGACATCGACGAGATAACTAAAGCGCAACTCAACAAGAAGACGATGGAAGAAAGAAACCAAAACCAAACACTACTTCCCGCTACGAAAAGGAGATGCTTTTCCTCCGCCAGAAGAAGGGAGAAGGGGGTTGCACCCCTGAAATCAAGTTGGAGGAGAAAAAGATACTTTTAAAGAGCGAAAAAGAAAACTGCTTCCTCCAGAAGTGGGGAAAGAGAGTCAATACGTGGGGTCCAAAAACAGTGTTTATGTAACCTTTTCACCTTATATTCCCGTCCAGGGTTGTCAAGTTGAGTTTAGATGGGTAAAAACCCAAGAGATTGTTCTGGATGAAAACAATTAGGGTACTGTTCTTTCACTGTTGTGAACTTGGCCCCTAAGTTTTGGCCAACATCATCTTCACCGTTCTTTTGCCATTGCCATCGTCCATTCAGCTTTTGACAATTTTCATTTGTTGGGTTGTTGTGTTGCCCGCTCGATGTGGATGGATGACCCTCTACGTGTCAAGTCACACCCAAAAGATAACTATTCCAATACTAAATCAAACCTCTTTCGACGAAGAAATGCCACAAGACTGGATCATCCCACTTGCATATGCAAAAGAATTACTGAAAGGCATCTAACTAAGGGTTTCTTTTTGGGAAATAAAAGAGTGAAAAGCAAACTTAAATGGTGGCATGCGTTTTCTCCTTTTTTGGGTTAAAGGGTGGTATGCTTTAAGCTTTGTCACACCACAGATGTTGATAAACATGAATTCAGTATGCAGACATAAACCAGTTTCCACCATTAGCTGTTATCATATTCCTTTTCAGCTTTCAAGTTTGAACTTTTTTAGCTTCTGGCGCAAACATCATTCGTTTTTAACTCATCCGAAGCTGCAATTACGAAAATGATTTGCTCCTCCTGATCACACAACTTATTTCTTTTTATTAAAATTAAAACAACAAGATTCTGAAAATATTTAGATTTTCAGGGTCATAATTCCAATTTTTATCACTAAAGAGACACAAGCCAAACGGTCTAGAGTCTAAGACCAGGCATGACCCTGCGGCTCTCCCATGTCTCCTCACAAAAAGGAATGCCTGAAGCACACGCAACTTTACCTAATGAAGAAACAGAACTTCCCAAACTACAAATATGAACAAAATAACGCCCAAAAGTACATTTCCAACATATACTAATGGTGGATTTGTTTTGCAGCTTAGCTGAGACATCTCCACGGAATTGAAAGAATTTTTTCTACTGCTGCCAGCTGACCCCTTAGATCTTGAGTTCAAATCTGATCGTGTATTCTTATCCCGATCCATTTTAGGGTCTTTGTTAGACTGCACAATGGATTTCTTGTTACGGGCAAGCTCAACAACAGGACCACGTACACCACTTTCTCTTGCCTGCAAAAGGAAATCATGCGGAGCAAAAAGCAGTCTTTAGTGTACAAAAGAAAGTATTGTTGTTTCAATACACATTTAAAGCGGTCAAATTTCCTTCGCTGCAGTGTTTAATTACCGTACCTTGTCTCTGGATACTGCTTTCCCTAAAGATTTACCCTGCAATTTTACCCTTCGAGGATGCTCCTGCACCACTGACTTGCAGGTTCTTGGCTCATACTGAGATTTGCAGGTTCTTGTAACAGACTTTTCCTCCAGAACCGATTCAAGACAATTGATCTCGTGGGCTGTAACGGTTGCCGAGTCAACACTGGAATCCATTATCAGGACCTCATCGTGATGGAAACCAGTTTCCATTCGCTTCTGATAGAATCCTTCTGAATGGCCACAACCAGTCCCATCAGACATATGCTGAACAAATTGATCACGCTGTTACACAAGATACAGAGAGGATATATGTCAACTTTTCCAGCGTCCCGAACATGAAATTCTAAAAGGATGCAAGGAAATCTAAAATAATTACACTACCAGGACCCCAGCAAAGAAACATTCTACGACCTCTTCAAGACGTCAGA